ATATATATATATATATATATATATATATATATATATAGAAAAAAATTCACCTACATAGTGTAATTTTCGGCGAATAGCTCCACCTAACAAAACTCCTTTAGCTCATTCATCACAAGTATGAAATCATAAACCTGAGGTAGATTCTGACATTTTTAGTTTTGTGCACCAACATTGTTGTAATTTTTTTTTACACCATCAAGCTAAGTTAGGTAATTGACAACGTATAAATATTTATAGAATGCCTAATATGGTAACCTAAAAGAAAGTATTAGTAAACATGTTCCTATATCTAATCGGCTTATTTGCACTAATAACACAAATATTCTTCAGTGAAGAACACAGATGCAACCCATCCAGCCCAAACAAATGTATGCAATTACATATCAATTTCCCTATTTAATTAATTATCAAAGTACTCTCTTTTTGTTCCTCATCCCTTGCTCATAATTTACTTGAAGAATTCCCAAGCACCGAAATGTTGCTTTAACAGACATCAAAGAAGGCATTTTAAATGAAGAGGAACTTCTCGTGAACATAATAGACCATCAACAAGCAAACAAATAAGAAATCTCAAACAAACTATATATATATATATNTGTCCTACAATTAATGAGAAAAGTAATAAGGGATCTCTGCAAAATGGATAGGAAGAAAGAGAACGAAGTAAAAGGGATAGGATGGAGTTGTTGTATGGGAAGGAGGAGAGATCCTTGAATCCGTAAGACGGGAGAATTTTGCATGTTTATAAAGCAAGAGAGAATTGCGGAGAATAAAAGAGAATTTTGAGGGGACAAATGAAAGTTGACAATTTTCTAGGCTTGTCATGCCCACGACTACTATTTTCTGAAAATCTTCCCCATGTCATGGCGTCACAGTTCGCACGATTAGGCATTCCCATACATATGCCACTTCATCTCCTCCCTTGAATTTCAGCATATGTACTTTAAGGACAATTTTGCCTTTTCAGTTTACTTCTTCATTATTACTTCTAGTAATAATTTTTATTTTAATGGTGTCTTTGGTTTCTTTAAGGACTCTTATGCCCCTTGTTTGGACAACCATTTGGTTGAAATTGAAAAACGAGTATTCCATTTTAAAGTTAATTAGAAGTTAAGAAAGAGTATTTGAAAGTCTAAATTATTTTTAGATGTGAATTTCATTTAGACTGGAGTTTCATAAGTAAAAATCCTTATTTCACTTAAAATACTCCTCAAACTAATTTGCAGCTTCAAATTCCAGCTGAAATCCTTCTAATTAAGAGTCTCAAACCCTAATGAATCGTATTAAAGAAGGTCATGAGAAGCAATCCTATGTTGAACAAGGGGGAGAATTGAAGGTGAGTCAGGAAAAAAGTAAAGATGCATGATGTGAATTAGACTTTACTGACGTATTACATATCCTTCTTGGAAGATAATAATGCTAATACAAGTAGATTTTCGTAGAAATGGCGTGGGATAGTCACTTTTTAATGTGGTATTTAGTTTTTATTTAATATTTTTAATGCCGAGCAAAAATAATCACTACTCTATTAAATTAATACGAAAAGACGTTTTTACCCTTTCTTCATAAGTGTTGTGTAAATATTAAGGACATGATCCTTAACTTCATGAGTGTTGTGTAAATATTAAGGACATTTTGTCCTTAATATTTACACAACACTCATGAAGTTAAGAAAATGTCCTTAATTTTTACACAACACTCATGAAGTTAAGGACAACATGTCCTAAGTTTAATAACAAAAGGTGTAAATACAGGACATTGTCCTTAATATTTTACACAACACTCATGAAGTTAAGGACACCGTGTCCTTAATTTTTACGCAACACTCATAAAGTTAATGACACTATGTCCTTAACATTTACACCATGCACACATGAAATTAAGGACACCATGTCTTTAATATTTACACTGTACATATGAAGTTAATGATATGATGTCCTAAAGTTTAACAACAGAAGGGTGCAAATACAGGGCAATTTGTCCTTAAAATTAAACACAACACTCATGAAGTTAAGGACACCATGTCCTTAATATTTACACAGCACTCATGTCTAGCACAAGGGTATTTTTATTCGGGGCGATAAAAATTTATTATACACTAGCTAAATAGTAAATACATTTTAAACAATGGCTAAAAAGCAAAGATATTCTCTAATTAGTGACTAACTTTGCACTTCCCCTAGATTTTCTGTGAGGAAAGGCCTCGTATATTTCGCCTAAGAGTTTATTGGTCTCTTTTCATTTTTAAAAAAAAGGTTTAAAGCAAGTTATCTAGGTTCTTAAAAAAGATTTTTGTTGGTTTTGTAAAGCGGATTTCTCCTTTGGCTCAAGCTTTAATTGTAGCATAAACTTATGAAAACTTTTTCAAAAAATCAATGAGCTTAGCTTTTTTATTTTAAAATCCAATATAAGACTCGACTTTTTTTTTTTTTTTTTTTCAATTTGAAAGTGAAATAATGTATAAAAATTGTGAAACAAACAATGATAGCAAATAATATTTCATTATTTGCAAATAATATTTATGTCTAAACAGCTACTAATGTTGCTACCCACAAAGGTGCACTACATACTAGTAGAGGGTCTAATTTGGACAGCTGGCCACTTTGTGAAAGTGTGCCGGACAAAGGCTCAAACAAATGGTTCCTTAAATGCTTTAGTTGTAATTGAAGCTCATTTTTTTCTTCAAAGGTCCATCATGGAGTTAGGCATGACTCTCACCAAAAATTACAACATAAACCTTTGCCTCATAAACATAGTGTAGATTGGTATACACCAACCTAGTGCAGAGATGTTCAAAAAAGATCAATTTGGGAATTGAACACTCATCCTTACAGTGTGATACTAAATGTTTGTAGGTCCATATGACCCCACCTATTGATCTATTATATAATAGCATCATTGATAGCGAAGCGATTTCTTCGTGGCCTGAATCTGAAATTTGGAAGCCCTTTTGGTCTAACTTCAAAGTAGCTCTAACCTTACTAGGAAGAGAAACTACTTCTATGAAGATAGCTTGCGTCATGGTGTTGTCACCCATATTTTCTTAAAATATGAACAAAGGTAAACTCTCCATTTTTTGCTATATCCCAGATTTGTTCCACCAAATGAAAGACTTGCCATGATGGTTTCATCTTCTTGTTGATCAAATTGACAATCACCAATGAGTCTGATTTCGCTATCACTTTTAAATGAATTGATCCCTTGCAAACTGCCTTAGCTTCAGCTGTGTTATTACTACCTAAGCCATAGAAGTCAGCAAATGCAATCACTAGAATACTAAGGTGATCTCTAAGGACACCAACCTCTCTTATTGCCCCAGGATTCCCTTTACTACACCCATCGTCTTTCAATTCATCCAACCTCTCTCAGATTTCTCCCACTTTACTGGTCTAGAAAGAGTTGTTTATTGAGCCCTCTCAATACTCCTGCATTTATCAAACCATATCTTAGGAAGTCGGAGACTAGGAAATTGAGTACTAAGAATAATAGTACACCAGTTTGTCACATGTTGAATAACATTCCAGCCAGACATGTGCTTTTTGTCAAATCTTGTTGCACATTTATCCTTCCATAACTCCCATCATATCAATGAAGGTAAACATTGAAATAGCAGAGATTGAACTTATTTCTATCGTTGCTCAACCACCATCTCATGACAATCTGTCTTAACTATCCAAGAGTAAGCCTAATGCCACAAGCTTTGCCGAAATAAGTCCATACCTGCCTAGCAATTTGACTACAGCTAAATAAATGTGTCATAGTTTCCTCCTTATTGTTATTATAGCAACACCACTTAAGGAATCATATAACCACACTTCTTTACTGCATCATCTGTTGGGATCCTTGAAAAGTACAACATTACCAACTAAGGATGGCTTAGTTATATTGTGGACCATATCCTTTGTGAGCATAATATTTTTTGTTATTGATCTCCCTTTGATAAAGCTTGTATGATTGGGAGAGATCAATTTCTGCATCAATGGACTCAATCTCTGATTCATCAATTTAGAAATGATCTTGCATGAAAAATTACTAAGACTGATTGGTCTTAGTTCTGTAAATGGTTGTGGGCATTCTACCTTAGGCAGTAGAATTAAGCATGTATGTGTAAGAGCTTTAGGGATTTGATTACCTGCAAAACAGTCAGAAATAATTAGTAATAAATCATCTTTTATGATCTCCCAGTATGGGTGGTAAAACTTCTCAGATACACCATCAGGGCCTGGTGCATTATTTGCACTCACGGAAAATACCACCTCCTTAAGATCCTCCATTGTAGGTAATGCATTAAGTCTCTCATTGTCGGTTTCATCAATGAGCTTAGGAATACAATTCAGAACTGAAAGATCACCCACTGTATCCTCCTTAGTGAATTGTTTATGGAAAAAGAAGATAGCTTTATATGCAATATCATCATCTCCTTCAATCCAGCTTCCATAATCTCTTCTCATTTTCTTTAAGGATAGTCTCTTCTTTCTCCCATTAACAACAGAATGAAATCTAGAATTCACCTCTGGCTCTAGAAACCACTTCACCTCTGATTTCTGTCTCCAAAATGCCTCCTTTCTTATATGCTCTGACCAGAAGTGCATTAACATTATTTAAAGAAGGTCTGTTGGCCTTAGAGTTGTCTGCAACTATTTTGTCTTCAAGCAACCTTGCCTTCTAACTCCTTAACTTAATTTGTCAAAAATATTGCCCAGAACCTGTGAAGTCAGGTTCCTTAATTTGTGAAGTCAGGTTCCTCAGTCCACAAATCCAGAAACCTAAAATATTTAATAGG